CAAGCCCTCATACGCACAGACACACACACACTCTTTCTCACTCTCTCCCTGCCTCCCCTATAACTGCAGCTTGGGGCAGGAGACAGTTCAGGCACATGGTAAACGATCCTCTGACTACACGCACAGCGGCAGGGAGGAATTGCTTTTAGATGCTCCAGCGACAGGACATGACAGGGCTCACAGATAACACAGTGCCACCTAAAACTCACAAAACGGGGTGGGGCGGATTTGACATTACACAGCCATGACCTTCATCTAGCTCTCTGAGGCTTGGTGATACCATTTTTTGCCCCCACCCACCCAACTGGTGCCCCAAGGCAACCACTTGAGCTGCTTGTGCAGTAGCACTGGCTCTGAACCATTTATGAATGGACAGAAGCCTCTGCACGAGCTGCTTCTACCCACTCAGAAACTCATGAATGAGCAGGAAGTGATGTAAAGCACTTCTTGTTTATTCATAACTGGGGAAACAGTACTATGTGCTCCCAGTTGTTTGCAAACATTGGAGTGATCAGCGATCACTCCAGTGTTTGCAGGGGCATATCCACTGCACGGCAAACAAGTAATTTGCCTTGGGTGGCACATTCCAAGGGGGTGGCGAAAAATGCAGCCCCCAAAACAGTGAGGTGAGCGGGGCTTCACAGTATCAGGCAGCCTCAGCTCCCTAATCATGGAGCTCTGGCTAAAGGAGGAGGTGGGGCCAGGGCCCAGCAGCGGGAGGCTCCGGCGGACGATGGATGTCCTGGAAGCAGGCTGGGGGAGCTGCAGGAAAGAGGAGTGCACGTGTGCAGGCAAAGGGACAATACAGAGCCCAAAATAGATTCTGCACAGTCCACCTAAGAATCTCAGGTGGGTTGTGCAAGATGTACGGTGGGCTGAGCAGCATCTGTGGTGGGCGCTGTGGGGTCTCAGGTAGGCTCTTTGGGGTCTATGGTGGGCTCTGCAGGGTCTCAGGTGGGCTAGGCAGGATCTGTGGTGGGCTCTGCTGGGACTATGGTGGGCTCTCCAGTGTCTCGGGTGGGCTCTGCGGGGTCTAGGGTGGGCTCTGCAGGGTCTCAGGTTGGCTGAGCAGGATCTATTTTGTGGTGGTCTCTGCAGAATCTCAGGTGGACCCTGTTGCAATGGCACCCTGTGCGGCCACACAGCTCACACACCACAAAGGTCAGCTCTGGTTCACATTATAACACGTGACCATAGTGCAGTAGTATTGTGACTCCAGACTACAGCGCTGGGTGTAGCATATGTCAGAAGACAACTTTGGATTGAAGGTATTGCAGCAAAAACTGTATTTTTTATATTTTTACGGGTGCAGGCAGATTTTATTTTTTTTCAAAATAGGAACATCCAGAAGTTTCACTTTGCATGACATCTGCACCATACAATTAAGTGTGCTAAATAAGGTCATTTATTTTGCCACTGACCCTGGCACAACCATTCTCTGACATCTCTTGCCATAGATTTGTTTGCACAGTAGCTATATGTGTCCACTAAACACTTTGATACATTGTTCAAGCCTTAAGGAAGAGGGATCTTTTGCATTGGCTGACTTTTGCTTTCTTGTTGTCACTTGTAGAATCAATAACAGACTTTGGACTCCTAAGACATTTTTGCTTAGCGCCCTTATTGGCTCAACTGACCGTGGACTTCTCAATTTAGGTGACACCCCTACTTCCTGGGGTAGGGGGACCCCTTTATATAGAAAGCAGACGAACACAAGCCATCATGCTCAAATAATGACTTTTTCTCCTGGCTGAAGATTCCTGTCCAGCGCCTAATATCTACTTTTATGCATTCATACTTTCTCCCCCCCCCCCACCTCTGGGCGCTGCTTTGTCTCCCAGGGGGGAGGAGAGAAACTGTCACAGGCGGCCGAGCGCTGCGGGAGGAGAATTTTGGTTTAATTTCAGGTTTGATATTTTCATTTCGGTGCACCTCTAACTCATACTGTATATTCCAATACAATAGAGACATCCCACAATCCGTCATCTACTTGGTATGGCACAGGGATAGAAATAACTCTGCCATCAGAAGATGCTTGCTCACCTATACTCTAATACCGCATTGTGCCCAACATCAGAGGCACCCACAGCACTCGCTACCACGTAGTGCAATTCTACCAACTTGTCTGCAAAGAGCAAGTAAGTTTTACCCTTAGCAACAAATCACAGAAAATGTGTACTATGTCTGAATTCACTGATCTTTGATTGGTTGCTGTAGACTGTTATTAATTTTATGTTTAGCTGGACAGCCAGTAGAATTTAATTTGAAAATATTTGTTCTCAAAATAAACAAATTGATGATCGTTTTCAACCACAGTGACAGAAAAATGGAAGGAGCATGCAATGGAGATTTTTATCGAGTGAACTGAACTATAACAGCGAATGTGGTTTGTCACTTGGGAAACTTCATTCATTTCAAAGTCCAATGTTAAAATCAAACTGAATTTCGAACAACATTTGTTGTCTCTGGTGGCATTATCAAATGTTCTGATTTCTCAGATGAACATTCGTCAAGAAAATCAACCAGCTTTTGGTTCATTTCATAACAAGTGTGAAAAAAATGGGTACAGACAGCTCGTAAAATCAGAATAAATTATTACACAGTGATACACAATCAGAGAGTGCATTCTGAAGCTACAATGAATTACCAACAATGGTTTTTGTCCAATATGACATCTGCAGAATAAAGGAGGAGAATAACCAAGAACAAAAGTATTATAATATATCTGGTCTCGGATACAGAGTTGTGTCACGTTAACTCCTATTGGGGGTCATTTAAATGACTTGGCATCAATGGAAATATCATTCTAGTATCAAATGGTCACTCTTGGGAATAAAACATCAATTCACTATTTAGCTTATTTAAACAACTGTTATGATTTCTCTTACAAATTATATTCCTCTATTAAATTTCACCTTGTTAATAATGGGCTGCTTTTGATTCCATCTTACTAAGGCTGGCTATACCTTAATTACATTAAGATGAGTGTCTGCAGGACAGTGTTGTGTATTTGCTCACCTTTCAGCAGAAGCCAGCACAATTTAACATGAACAGAATATCATGAACCTATATGATGATGTCACATTTGGCCTTTTAATGAAGAATTTTAATTCTTAAAGCAGAACTCCAACCAGATGGTTAACTCAAAGATGAAATTACATATAAGGAAGCTGTTTTAACTGCCAATGAATTTGAATTTCTGTCTGTCCTTGCAAGGTCTTGTCCCTCCCCCAGTCTGTGACTGGACAGTGAAAAGAGAAGCAGCAGAATGATGAGCTTATCTCTCGGTCACTCTGCTTTGAACTCTTATCAGTATGCTCCTTGCACTGCAGCACAACTGATTGGCTCCTTCTGCTCTCCCTTGCACTGCTTGTCTTTAAAAAAATACGGTATTCATTAGTAGAGAGCTGCATTAATTTGTGTCTTTGAGTTTTCCTAGATTTAAGCTTTAGGTGCAATAAATATAGCAATCATAGTTTATCTTCTCCTTGCCTAACTTCAGCAGAATGAATTCTGATTGGTTGCTATTAGACATGTGCGCTTCAATTCGGTACGAATCGAAATTCAGACGAATGCGCATTATTCGAAGATTCAGACGTATCCGAATCTCCGAATAACATTAGTAACAAATTTCAACGAATCCGAAAGAAATTATAACGAAAGCAACAAATGAATTCAGATTAATTTGTTTCATTTGGATTTCATGATGCGATAGTTTGGGCCTTTTGTTACGTAATAACGAACAACCGACCATCCGAAATCACAAATCGTTTTGGCATAACAAATAACTAATTTTCCCGAAATACTGAATCATTCCAAAAACGAATCATTCTAACGTAACAAATATGACAAACAAAATGATTTACTTTAGGAATAGAAGCAAAACACATGTTTTCCAGTGCACATATCTAGTTGCTATAAGTTGCTGTGCTATAGAATTAGAGCTCTTACTGAATAAGGCTGATGGTGTTTTAATAGCCATGGGACCATAGGGCATAAAAATGGAACCTAGATACTCATGTAGCCCAATAGCTCTCAATAGCTCTGTGCTGCCTTACAAGGGTTGGATGGATGGTGTGAATGAGTAGCAAGTAGTTGCACTGCACTGGGAAAACAACATGCTAGCCCTAACTTTAAGGGACACTATAGTACATACTTTAATATATACTATATATGTGTATGTATATATATATATAT